GTGTTTGGCTGGGGGTGGGGTTTGGGGAGGGAGGGAGGGTTTTTCATGTTTGCCCGTTGCTTTCTTGGTTGTATTTCTTGCACGTGTCTTAGTTTCTAGGATCACTGTTTTCCATGCCGCTTTGTTACTTCCACCAGGGTTAGCTAAAACCAGTTTGATGGTCATTTCAACGTTACCCAAGCCTTTTCCCCATCTTTTTCAAGAGTGGTGGGATACATCTGGGTCTATTTTTAAATACTATACATGGTCAAATGTTGATCTCAAGTTTTTGCAGTTAATTAAAGGTTTCTCCTGGTTTTTTCCCTATTATACGCTTATTAATACTCTATGGTACAACTCTTTTGACTTTGCTCCATAATGGCTGAAAATTTAAATGTTATTTCATTAAATTGTAACGGAATTAACAACGTAATCAAAGCTCGAAGAATTCATAACTACCTTAAGTCTCTTAAAGCTGACGTAGCTTTCATCTCAGAATCTCATCTAAAAAATGATAATAATTTGCTTTTAAAATCAGCCTCTTTCCCCCATAAATTTGCAGCTTATGGCACCTCTAAAGCACGAGGTGTGCTTATCCTTATCTCAAAGTATAATTCTTTTACTGTCCTGGACTCAATTCAGGACCCAAGGGGCCGTTTTCTTATTGTTAAAGGGATCCTAAATGAACAAAAAATCACTCTAGCTGTGGCTTACGCGCCAAATTCGGGCCAACTTAGTTTTGTTGCTAAACTATTTGAAACTATCTCCAACTTTCAAGAGGGCCCTTTGCTTATGGGAGCTGACTTGAATTACATTATGAATTATAAATTAGATAGAAAAAAGCAAAATGTTAAACCGAAATTAGATCAGTCATTTCAACACACTTTCACAGGACTTAAAAAATTATTCCAAAAGCATGATTACATAGATGCCTGGAGATTTCTTCACCCTCATGATAAAGACTTTACCTATCACTCTAAACGCTATTGTTCATATTCTAGAATTGACTATGTCATTGTTTCTAAAGATATTTCTAACACTTTAACATCTGCGAGAATAGAGCCAAGTTGCTGGTCAGACCACGCAGCAGTATGGTGCCGGCTTGATTTTAAACCAAATGTAGACAGAGCATTTTCCTGGAAATTTGATAATTTTTTGTTAAAAAATCCTACTGTTGTCGCACAAATCATTCAGGATTCGGAAGAATTTTTTAAAATAAATTCCACGGATGTCACCCCAATCAATGTAACCTGGGACGCATATAAAGCCTTTCTACGGGGCAAACTCATATCCATTTCTGTTGCAATCAAACGCCAAACCAGGGCTTTGAAACAAAAACTCTTGGATTCTATTCAATCATTGGAACTCAGGCATAAAAAAACGTGTAACCCCAAAATCTATAAACAGCTAGTAGCAGAAAGGCAAAAATTGCAAGCCCTTGAGGTTCACTCAATCTCTAAACGGCTTTTATACCTTAAGCAAAACTATTGGACCAACAGCCCACGGGCACTTAAAGTTTTGGCCTGGAGAGTAAAAAAGAGGAAATCTGATTCTGGAATTAAAAGCATAAGAGACTCTTCAGGGAAATTACTAACAGCCTCTCACTCTGTTTTACATGAATTCACCAAGCATTTTGCGAAAATTTACACTTCAACCAACCCATCGTTACAAAATATAGATTCTTTTATCAAATCAAATCAATCCATTAAAATACTAACTAATCTACACAAAGATTTCCTAGACCACCCTATTGATGAACCTGAACTATTGCATGCCATTAAATCCATGAAACTGAATAAATCCCCTGGTGTTGACGGTTTCACCTCTGAATTTTATAGAACCTTTTCTTCATCCCTTTCTTCTATTCTCTTAAATCTATTCAATTCAATTCTTAATTGTGGTCCTATCCCCAAAACTTGGAACCTAGCCAAAGTAATTTTGATTTATAAGAAGGGTCGTGACCCGGATTTGATGGGGTCCTACCGTCCCATATCGTTACTAAATAACGATTACAAATTACTTACCAATATTCTAACCAAACGGCTAAACCAAATTATAGCGACCTACATAGATGCTGACCAGACTGGGTTTATCCCTCAAAGGGACATGACTGATAATATTCGTAAAGCAATTAATGTCATCCACCATTATAAACGGATCCCCAACACAGAGTCATGTGCCCTCTCGATTGATATCGAGCGGGCATTTGATTCGGTCGAACATGAATATATATTAAAACTATTGCACCATATGAATTTTGGTAATAAGTTTATTCACGTAATTCGTTCTGTTTATAGTACACCTTTATTTTTGCTTCGTATTAATGGTTTAAACTCTTCTCCACAGCCAATGACCAGGGGCACTAGGCAGGGATGCCCCCTTTCTCCCCTTTTATTTAACTTAGCAGTAGAACCTCTAGCCCATCTTCTTCGAAGCGATGCGAATTGGTCAGGTTTATCCATAAATGGAAAAAAAGTTAAAATTAACATGTTCGCGGACGATATAATCTTGTTTTTATCCAATCCCAAAACTGCTCTTATCCATATAGAGCGTCATCTTCATAATTTTGGATTCATTTCGGGCCTTAAGGTCAATGCTGAGAAAACTCTGCTATACCCAATTAACATTAATCTGGAAACCAAAACTTATATCCTTTCCTGCTTTAAATATAACTGGGTCACCACTTCTTTCAAATATCTTGGTGTTTCTATTCCTCTCGACCTATCACAATTGTTAAAACTGAATCACCTGCATGTCTCTGACCAAATCTCTATTTTACTTAAAAAATGGTCTCCACAATGTTTTACTCTCTTAGAACGCATTAAAATAATTAAAGCTCTTGTCTTTCCTAAACTAATTTTCATTTTCAGAGCCCTTCCTATTATCATCCCTGATTCTCTGTTAAAAAAATGGCAAACTGAAATCAATCACTTTATTTGGAACTACAAAAAACCGCGGATTAATCTCCAAACTATAATTCGAACAAAAAAAAACGGAGGCTTAGCGGTACCTAACATTCAACTTTACTACGACTCAATCATTCTTACCAACTTGATCAAACAATATCACTCCACTTATCACACTGACTGGAAAGTCATTGAGAATACCTATTTCCCAGCAAAATCTTTCCATGAAGCTTTATGGAATTATAAACAATATAGTAACTTTAAACAAGTGGCTAATCCTTTTATTCCTGCCACTTTTAAGGTATGGAGCAAATACAACAATTTTTTGGCTCCTTCTTTATCACTGCTATCGAACTTTACTGGACAAGCCTGGTTCAAACCGGCGCGACACCAAAACTCATTCAAAACCTGGAAGAAACTTAACCTGACAAGATTTAAAGATATTACGCTTCAAGGCCAAATCAAACCTAAATCTCTCCTTGAAGGCTCCTCTGGCATGATAATTCCGTGGTTCGAATATTTGCAGATCGGTCATTTTCTCAATTCTTCAAAAGGCTCCAAACTGCGTTTAAAACTTACCGATTTTGAGCGTCTACTATCTAATGATTCAGTATCTTCCAGAGGCCTGATTTCGTTAGTTTACTCTATATTATTACAATCTAAAAATTCTCATTTACTACCTTACCAAAACTCTTGGCATAAAGACTTAGCTCGAACCTTAACTTCTGATCAATGGGACCAGATTTGGAGCTCCTCCGCATTAACTTCTTCATGTCTAAATATACAATTGCAATCTTATAAACTTCTGGCCAGGTGGTATAGAACCCCTCTTCAATTGTCACATCTTTCTAATTCAATTCCCCCTAATTGCTGGAAGGGCTGTGGTCTTATCGGATCTTACTTTCACTCATGGTGGTCGTGTCCGATAATAAGACACTTCTGGACCAAAATTATTGCAGAAATAAACATCATTACATCGTCACAAATTCCTTTTTTACCTACTGTTATTCTATTAAATCTGTGGGAGACCCCTTACATTCCTAAACACCTCCAAGATCTTTCCACCACTCTATTGGCTGCAGCAAAGACGGTCCTGGCTTCTAAATGGAAATCCCCGACGACCCCCACTGTATCTGAATGGTATAATAAAGCTTGGGACTACTTTGTTTTTGAAAAAATAACCGTGGAACTGGAACATCCTGAAATAGAACGCCGAAAGTTATTTTTCATTAAGAAATGGTCTCCATTCATTCAAAAAGTTTTGGGTCATATAAATTTTTCTAACATAGACATTGTGACACATTCTGTCGCTACAGTGATTATCTCTAGTTAATCATGTAATGTTGTTTCCATTGTTTATTGTATTGATTTGTTTGATGTAGCGTATCACCTATATCTAAGACACAATTTCTTTGGTTTGTATTAGTTAATGATCTTATGCTACTGTTTACTATGTATGCTGCATCTTATTGCCTTATTTGACTGTTCTTAATAGTTGTATTTACTCTTTTCTAAATAAAAATTTATTTCAAAAAAAAAAAAAATCCTTGTGGGTCCCCACTGTTTACTTTCCTCCATTGAGAGAACTTTCCCTTTATTCCTCCTCACTCCTTATCATTATCAATTAGAGGACCCCTCCTCTTATCCCATGACCCAGTACTAAGTTAACTCACTAAAGGCTCCTGAGTAATCTCGTCAAAAGCCTTTTAAAAGTCCAAGTAGTCCAGGTCACCATTATCTACATGTGTGTTCACTTTCTCAAAGAACTCCAAAAACTTTATGAGGCAGGACTTCCCTTTGCAGAAGCCATGCTGATTTTCCCTCAGCAGGCTTTATTCCTCTATGTGCCCAATAATTCTACCTTTGATTACTGTTTCAACTGATTTGCATGGGAAAGATGTTAGGCTAACTGCTTTTTAATTTCCTGGTTCCCCATTCCACCCCTTTTTAAAAATTGGTGTAACATTTCCTACTCTCCAGTCCTCCGTACAGTTGCTGATTTTAGAGAAAAGTTGCATATACTGGTTGTTGCATATACTGGTCAACAATTTCACACTTGAGTTCCATAAGACAAAGAACAAAACCAAATAGAATCTGACATCAGGAAGATCTAGGTTACTTGCCTACAATGAAGGAATGTCAACATCCACATTATGAATCTAACCTGGTAGGTGACTGCCATATCCTTACTTAGAACTACTGAATATAGCTTGAAGAAAGAAATCAGTTTCTTATGGGTCCAAGAATACATTACAAAAAGAACAAACTCATCCCAGATTAAATCAAGAAGTTGTGGTTCAATGGTAGAGTACAGTTCCAAGGTACAATCCCTGGCATCTCTAGTTCAGGTATCTCGGAAAGCAGCTCTTAAGGGGAAAATCTCTCTCTCGAGATACTGGAAATGCTACTCTGATTGCAGCCAGTCAGAGCATACAATATTAAACTAGAAAAGAATCAGACCACTGATCTACTTTCAGCTATGAACCTTAACACACCAATTTATTTAGAAGAACTGAGAATCACCAATACTTACTCTCCATCCACTCAGTTTTGGGAGGATTGACTAAGGTATTGTCATCTTTATTCCCCTGATTATCTTCACTTGAAAATAAAATTTGAAGATTATTATTTGAGCATGCTTGCCATAACATAATCAAACATAGCCATAACAAGCCAAACCAGAAATAAAGAAACATGAAGTTAATAGGTTATATAGTGGTCTCCAGGTCCTCACAATCAACATTATTTTTGTATTTATTTATTTGATTTCTAGACTGCCCTCCCACAGAAGAGCTCAGGGCGGTTCAATAAATACACTCTATCATTCCAATAACTACAATAATAAAACAAGTTAAAAAATTAAACAACCACCATCAAACTATTCCAGATGACTTTAAATACTTGTATCCTACCCCTTGAAGGGTCAAAGAGATGAAGGATAAGGAGGCCAGGCTTGATGTCAACCATTGCGATTCCTCAACCATAGGCCTGGTGGAACATTTTTGTCTTACAGGCCCTGCGGAACTGCATTAGTTCCCACAGGGCACAGATGTCATTAGGCAGAGAGTTCCACCAGGCCGGCACTACAGCCAAAAAGGCCCTGGCTGTGGCCAAGGACAGCTGGATATTCTTTGGGCCAGGGATCACAAGAAGATTCTTCTCCTCAGAGTGTAATGCTTTTTGAGGGGTATGCCAGAAGAGGTGGTCCTGTAGATACACTGACCCCAGACTGTTTAGGGCCTTAAGGGTTAACACCAGAACCTTGAACCTGATCTGGTATTCAACCTGGAGCCAGTGCAGTTGGCACAGCACATTTTTGTCTTAGCTCAGAAAGGATGGCTCCAGAGCAAACTAATTTATGCAGTAGCCAAATCACTCGCTAACAAGTTTAATGCCAGTAGCTCTCAAAGTAGAATTTTTGCTCACAAGACTTCACAGCATAGAGGGTGCATTGGTCCAGGGCCTCCATATCTTCCAGGAAACTCTGGAGTTATTCTGCCACCGCTCTCTCAAATACCTTGCCCAGAAACGAAAGATTTGAGACTGGGCAGTAATTGGCAGGATCTAAAGCACTGGTTCCCAAAGTGGGCCATACCGCCCCAGGGGGGTGCTGGAACGATCCAGGTGGGCGGTAGGAGCCTTGGGTGCAATTGGGTGGCATTGAATAAAAATAAGGGGGTGGTGGAAGCATAAAGAAAGAAGAGTCCAGAACCTATATAATGCAGCCTTTTCCTGCCTTCTCCTGGTCTTCCCTGGGATTAGGGAGGGAGGGGGAGGGGAAGAGGGGTCCCCACAGCCAATCACAGCCATGCATTTGCAAATGTATGTGCACCCTTGTAAGGCTGGTGTTGCTGCTGGCCTCTGGCTTCAGGCCTTCAGCTGCTGCTGCTCTGATCCTGCCTTGGTCTTGCCTGCCTGTGTGGATTGTGGTGGACTCTACCTGGACTGAAGAAGATACCTAAAAGGTAAGATTTGGGGAAAATACATATTATTTTTAAAGGAGGATATTAGTTAGGCTTGCCAAGTCCCCCTGGGGGGCGGGGCCACGGTCATCTGAGGGAAAACTCTATGGTTTTCCTTCCGATGGTCATGGCCCCGCCCCCAGCGTGCCCGCATCACTTCCGGGCAATATGATTGCGGCACGCGCGCGCGCGCGCGCGCTCCAGCCACCAGCCAGGAGTCCCCCACTGCGGCTGAATTCACACTTGACAACCCTAATATTAGTAAAAGGACCTTTTAAATTATTGTCCTTTTACTTCAGGTTGGGCAGCTTTCAGGTTTGCTTTGGGTTACAGTTCTGTTGGGTGTGGGGTGGGGGTTGGCTAAGCCTTACTTTCTTACAATTAATAATTTTGAGGGAAAGTTTTAAAAGTTTGGTTTGGTTTCTTTTGGATTGTTTTTTTAAATTAACTGTAGTAATTGCTTGTTGGTGTGGTGGGGGGGTTGCTCAATGTTTTTAATTTGGTGATTCAACTTTTGTTATTGGTTGTTGTTTAAATATTGTAATTTTCTGGTTGGTTTTTAAATATATTTCTTGAGATTGTACTGCTGTGTGCCTCAAAGAATGCCAAATTCTTTGTAGTCTGCAGAAGTTATGCAAATAGAGCACATTTAATGGGAAAAGCCAAGGACTGCAAATTCTGACTCCCTTGCACTTGGGCTTGTGAGATTCACTGAGACTTGGTTGCATGCTTTGAAGCAGGACTTTGCAGCTGGGAAGCCAGAAGTTAAAGTGGAAGTTCTTGAGAAGCTTCTCTTTCTGTTTGGGACAGCCGTCTGGTCAGTGTGGTACAGTGTTTAAGTGTCAGAGAAGTGTCTGGGGGATCTGGGTTTGAATTCCTGCTCTGCCACTGATAAGTAATGATTTCAAGATTAAAGAAATTGGGGTATTGGATTGCGCTTTGGATTGCACTACGTAAACTGCCTTGCACCTAGTATGTGAGTGCAAGAGAGTAATGATTTCCAGATATTTCAAAGCTGCCTTTCCCCAAACAATTCATGTGTGTGTGTGGGGGTGTGTGTGTGTTATTCCCCAGTGGTGGGAAGAACTATAATTCATGCCCGCTGCCGGTAATATTAATTGTTTTATAAATAAACACAGAAATTTTACTTTTTTACAGATAATATCATAGCTAAACCTAAGAAAAAATGTAAACAATATAGTATTCAATATTTGAACTAAGGCTTTATTCAGTCGCCTACAAACAGTACAATACTGATGTGCCTGATTTGCCAAAAACTTTTATCAAATGAAGCTATGAAGCCTTCAAGACTACAAGAATATTTGACGGACTTCCGGTTTAAGTGTTTTGCCGCTTGGACGTGTCTCGTCTCACTCTGATGGGGACGTGCCGAGACCCAGCTGATGGGAGGGGTCCGAGTTAGTCCCAGACCTCCCCGGGGTCTCTATAGGAGACCCTCAGCCTGAGGAGAGCCTCTTCCAAGGCGACGGCCAAGGAATTGAGGCTCACCTTATCCCCAAAAGGTATTGTCGCCGTGGAGCCAATATGGCGCTTAGAGACGACTGCCAGAGCAAGCAACCACGATCAAAACTTTAAAATGCTTCCAAAAGATCTCCAGGTCTCCAAACTGTGAATTAAGCAATGCTCAGGTGAAAAAGCGAACGAACCTTGGTAGTAATTGGAAGCGCCTAAGTTTGAAGCGTGGAGGAAGAGGGACTAAGCACCTCCCCCCCCTTGTTGAAAAAGATTTAAAAGTGGTTTTAAATCAGAAATAAAAAGACTTAGAGCTAAAATAAGCGCATAAGAAGTTAAGCGAATGCAAAAACTGCCAATATATACAAAGCGGATTTAAATCGTATAACTTTTGCCTTGTTTTGGAAAACTTACTTCTTGTTGATATTATGTCTGGGAGAGGACGGAGGGCACTGGAGAAAAAATTGGTGACCAGAAATAACATACCAATGAATCCCTTTCAGAACCAGGAAGTAACTACAGGCACAGAAGCGCTGGGACCGGGGGCAGGCCCATGCCAAAACGGTAAGTAAGGGATCAGGGGTGGGCGGGGGTG